AACAGATTTTGAGAATGCATACATGTATACATAACGAGGCTGACTTAAACTTAAGAACGAGAAAACATTTTCTGAATGTATATCATTTTGTGGAAACATAACTCTGAGATAAAGAAATACTGCAGAAACACCTATATTTATGCAGTTGCATTTGAAAGGTGGCATGATATCTACAAGGTTTGAAATTGAACACCCCTATTCCATCTGCATAATACTCCTAGGAGAATAGTGTAGGAAGATGCAAATAAGGAAATGCTATAATTAAGGTGCTATGATATGCCAGAACATTTCAGAAAAAGCGTGAGATATATAAATGGCACAGTTTCTGGGTACATCCCACAAAAAGAATACCGGAAGAATAACTTACTTGTACCGGATACCCACATAACCCTCATTTCCGTAGGATCCCCCGTGAGAGAGAGGTGACCTTGCAAGGGAATGTCCGCCCCTCCTTCAAAACTCACAACGTTGCTCTCTGCAGCAAGAGTTGTGTAATTGCCACTTCTGTAATATCTGAACTGGCATTCTTTCCTCAAATTCCACAGACGAACGTCGAACTCGCCATAACCTTTTGAATACGTCTCTACGCTACTGACATTAACATAATCCAAATAGTGATCGGGTTCGGCTTCTGGGGGACAGTACAGAACTACGACATCTTTAGAACTTGGAGAAGTGACCCCAGACCATGAAATCGTAACTTCCTCGCCATTACTGATTTCAGACGACGGTGAAACTTTCAACGAAGCTGCAGAATCGAGTGCTGTTGGTTTCGGCAGACGGGAGAACTTCAGCTTGTTCGCCGGGTGTCGAGCATCTACGATGGTACCATTAGAATGTACTCGGCCAAAATAAGTTGACACTGGATGGTCGTGTTTGCAATTTACGCCAGTAACCCACAAAATATATAAACTGATGCAAACTGCTACACCGGTCTGTCCCGTCGCCATGTTGGCAACCTGCTATGTCACATGAATTTGTCACCTGATATCGAAAGTCACGCAATTCCTCGTTCGGACACACACCACGTGACTAACCAACGAACGGTCGTTGTGCAGTTTTCGTGAAAGAAAAGTTTACCTTAAAACTTTGTCCAACGAAAGAACTTGATGAGCAAGTACTAAAACCGATGTGTTTTGTTAAAATTCTTACTTTTCGTTTTCGCTGTACGCCGAAATGAATCGAGGCCCTCGCGTGATTTCAGGACAATTTACCATTTTTTCAGGGCTCGCTGCTTAATGCTTGGACACAAGTACGTTTTTTCCCAAATTGACGGGATGACAGTATTTGAGTACATTTAAAATACTTTGAATCAATATTTCGTGATAGCTGGATTAAAAAAAAACCATGAATTTAAATCTGAACAGTAGCACCTAAACTAAGTCTAAAAAAAAAAATTTCGGAAAATTTAAAGTAGCTCTGGACCCTCTCTGATTTTATACAACTTAAAAATCACTGGCTTACTACCCCTGCTAACACTTGCGCACGTGCGCAACTCAACAACGCAAACGCGCAACTATAAAGTAATACGGTGTATGTACCAAACTTTCTAGGAAGCACGCAAAACTGTGGATTTCACACGGTAATAACTTTATAAGAATGCTATCGCTGTTTTCCAAATTATATCATATTGAATGATAAGCATTTGATGAAAGTATAATTCCCAACGCTTGAGTCATGTTTCGTAAACTTACTGCCAACCACCCGTCCTCTGTGTCACGAATTCTAATCTTTGTGGGTCGAATAACTTGTCATGTAGTATTGTACCTTGGTAGTTTTTGGCTGACTATCAAGACGGACTACTGTCTCCTGGAACTTCATCTCTCGATATTAGAATCCCATCTCTTTGACGGGTCGAAAGGAGTGTGATGTCAAACTTCGGCCATGAATTACTTATATTCCGCCATCTTGAAACGAAGTTCAACCTTTGGGATTTGGTAACTTTTTATGTAGTACCTCGGTAGTTTTCACATGAACGTCAAGAGAAACTACTGTCGCCATGAACTTCATCTCTCGATATTAGAATCCCATCTCTTTTACGGGTCGAATAAAGTATGATGTCAAGCATCGGCCTGATGTTAGTCGTATGGCCGCCTTCTTGAAACGATAGGCAACTTCTCAGGTCTAATAACTTTTTACGTAGTATCTTGGTAGTTTTTAAATGAGCATCAAAATAGACTACTGTTACCTTCTTCATGTCTCGATATAGAATTCCATCTGTTCAACGGGTAGAAAAAAGTATGATGTGAAAAAGTATGACTAGTATGGCCGCAATCTTAATCAAAGTGGAACCTTTGGGGTCTAATAAGATCTAATATTATAAGTTTTTATGTAATATACCTTGCTAGCTTTTGTCTGAATATCAAGATATACTACTGTCGCGTGGAACGTCATCTCTCGATATTAGAATCCCATCTCTTTCACGAGTCCGAAGGAATATACTTACAAAGCTAGGCCATGAATGACTAACATGGCCGCCATCTTGAAACTAAGTGCAATCTTTGGGCTCTTATAACTTTTTATGTAGTACCTTGGTAGATTAATTCTGAATTGGCAGTGAATGGCAGACACCTCCAGCCAGCTTGGGCCTGTACCTGAGATCTGAGAGGCTCATTTTCGCGGTTAGGGGAAGCCTTCCTTTCAGAAGTTGACGACCCACAGATCTAGACGATCAGCAACATAAAATCGATGTTCCAAAAAAATTCAGCAAAAAGACTATAGATACATACATACTTTATTGATACTCGATTCAATTAGAGTTTGTGAAAGCCCTGGCTGGCTTTGAGGGCTAACGTGTCAAAATTGAACTAAAGGATTTGAAAATAATTACCTGTCACATGTTTTTATAGTTACATTCTAACTTAGGTGGGTACTTAGTATATCTTTCATAAATTAAATTAAAGCTAGGCACAGTTACATTCCTGATTTTTTTAGAAGTGAACTCCAGATTTTAGGTCCATGAAAAGCTTTTTCGACACGACTCCGCCCCTCGACACGCTCTCGCAATATCAAGCTGTGTACCTGTTATAGCACATGATGATATTAAAAATATATATAAGCATGCATTCTTTGATCCTCTCCCTGATTTTTTAATCGAGATTTCAACTGTTGGAGGTAAAAAGACTCTTAACTACAGTAAGGGACAATGGCATTGGTAGCTGGTATTACTTCATTGACATCAGAGATGGCTGACTGGACTCCTCATCACAAGAGAAGGAGTGATGTCTTTGAGAGACGCACATCCTAAGACAAAAAAATTAAGATGTCAATTTTTTTGAAGATATAGCTTATAAATGGATCTATGGTACACTAGACAAAAAATGACGGATACTAGGTTTTCAACGTAAATTCTTTGAGTTGTGGTTGCCACCCCCTCCCCCCTCCCCCCACGGTAAGTTAAGTATCTTCAGTTATTTTCTTTCAGATTACCAGTCCTACTCGACATGAAATCAAAATGGCTACCCGACTCCGACTAATCCTCAGTAGTTTCTCATGAGACGCATAACTCTTCACAGTGAAACAGAAGCAATTCTCGGTCCAGTAGCGCTACTAGGAAGTCGCGTTTCAGTCGGCTCATGGCGCTTAAAGTCATCCAACTTCCTGTGAAAAATTAGAGAAGGAATTTGGCATACGAGACAGGCCAAGTGCTTGTCGCCGCTGACTGTCTCGAGATCTGTTGGTTTATTGCATGCGTGGCTGCTGAGTTGCCGTTTAACGATAGTCATGTGATGTGAACGTTTTGAGTTTCCACACCTGCAAGGGCCATAGCTATTTTGAGCTCGTCCTTGAGCTTCTGAAGAACTTCAAAGACACCTTGCTCTCCCTGAAAAAGAAATAACCAAACGTTGGACCTTCAGTAGGAAAAGCCTTTAATAGTTTCTTTTGTAGCAGCTGTCCTGTTTTGTCACTTTTTGTTTCAAAATGAAAAACAGTTGAAAATTTACAGATGTTTTAAAATTGAAAAGTTAACTCATCTCAAAACCATTTCTGTAACGAAACAAAGCAAATAATTTTTCCCATGAAAACCTTTATTTGTTGCCATGAAATAAATAAATATTTTCGGGTACCTTATAAGCTAGTCCCCAGATAACTGGCCGTCCAACAAACACTGCTCTAGCCCCCAGAGCAAGGGCCTTAAGAACATCAGTTCCCAGTCTCACGCCACTGTCTAAATACACTTCGACCCCAGTTCCTCTGACGGCCTCAACTATCTCGGGTAACACTTCAATCTGTAATCCAAGAGAGAATTTTTTTTTTGTGAAATAAGAATTGTACTTCAAGAACAACTAGAAACAAGTCACATTTAGTAAACACTTGGTTGCCAGGGCTCTTTGACAGAAATAAAAATAAAATAGTGAACTTTTCTCATTCTGACATACAGTGGCAGGAAGACCATCTAACTGCCGCCCTCCATGATTCGACACCAGAATCCCTTGGGCCCCATGCTGCACTGCGAGACGAGCATCCTCTGGTGTCGATATTCCCTTAATAACAAACGGAAGTGACGTCATCGAACGAAGCCAATCAAATTTCTCCCAGACAGCACCACTGTCACTCTCAGCAATGACGTAACGGCTCATCTGGTCGTTATTTTTTGATTTGCTGTTAGGGAAATTAGCAAATCCCTTCAAATGCTTGGGAACAGAAAAATTCGCCCTGTCTTTATGTCTCCCGAAGACTTTGACCGGGACGTCCACTGTTAAGATAATTGCCTGATATCCCGCTTTCTCGGCTCGTTTTAACAAGTCCACCATAAACTGGCGATCCGTGTACAGCTGGATCTGCATAAACTTGATCGTGGTTGGAGAGTCTCGCGCGAGGTGTTCCAGGCTATATGTGGAGTATATACTCACGCCTACAGCTGTACCCACAGATTTCACCGCTGAAAGGCAAACATATCCAACGTGAAAACGTGTTAACTAGAGTAGGTACCCGCCTTGAATCTCAATGTTTGACGGCTTATTGTTTGGTCGCATTAAGCGCCTAAATACATAAAACTAAACTACGAAAAAACCTTTATTATATGAGTACAAGCACACTTATAACCTGGAGCAGGCTCTCGTCAACTCATGTTCAGTTTATTTATTTTTCTGGCAATCAACAGGTATATCTCCTATGACCTTCATAAAAATTAAGAACCTAATAAGAACCTACATAGCCTAGCTTTCCAATAAGTATCCAAATACAAGAAACTACTATGCCAGACTTCAAAAAAATGTAGTTTCTTACACGCGGGTATTTACTGTATTGCTAGATGGGAAGTAACATGAAATAAACTGGTGCCTGGAAGAAATCCACCCCTTTGTTAATTAATCTCATTTTCTTTGCAACAACAAATGCGGTTGTCCTTCGTACTATAAACCAGCTGAGTTACCTGCAAGCTTACCTCTGACTGTGGCAAGTTCTCCATCTGGATGCGCCATCGCTTGGAAAGAAACAGGTGAAACACAAATTGGCATGCTTAGCTTTTGACCCAGGACTGTGACAGAGATGTCTTGCTGGGAAACGTTTCGTAGCACGCGTGGACGCAGTTTAATCCTGTAGTAATCAAATGGACCATCAGAGAACTGAAAACATGGCCAACTAAAGAGAATTATAAATCGGTCAAAACTCGTCTAAATTATTACTTCTTTTACCTCCCTATAACCTATTCAACTCGAAGTGTCGTGGGGAAAATACTCTCTAATCCTCTTGCACGTTTGTACCTAGCTATAGCACCTTGCATGTCAAGTTGATTTTCTTCTTTGTTTCCTTACAAATATAGAGCTTAATCCGACCCCCTGTTTCGCGAAAATAAAGGAACTCCCGAAAAAACGATTTTGGAAAGTTTCTTCGTAAGCTAGACCGCTTACGATGGGAAAATTTCATTATTGCGTTTCGTGACTTACTGGGTTGGTGAAATCCCAGAACATTGTAAACTAACTTCGAGTTTTCTTAACGTTCAGACCTCTGCCGAATAGTCTAAGATGTGGTGACCTATTAATATCTAATCTTGCATTACAGCAGACATCACAGCATTAGTAATCTGTCCTTCCCAGTGGCTCCCTTGAGGGGTTGGACCGGGGGTTAGAAAGGGGACCAGGTGAGAGTGCAGGGGATGCCGGTTGGGAAAGCTTCCCAGCGTTCGCCGTGCGCTTTCTTTTGCCTCTCCCTAGCCTTTGTACTGAGCGACATTATTAACCTCTCCCTGGCACCCAGGGTCAGACCACAGGCCGACCGGCTATCCTAGTTAAGAATTTAATTGTGCGCGCTATAACATTTCTCCGCGCGAAATGAAAGATGAAAACTAAGCTTCTCTGTAAACTGGCGCAAAAATGAAACAACTTGGGGAAAAATTGTTTCTGAGTAACATTAGGGGTAGAGATCCATCATTAATCTAGGCGCTAGAATTGGGAGAGATGGACGGAGGTTAATCGCTTCTCAACATAAATTACTCAGTGTATAAAACTCGCCGATTGCACTTTCGAGGGCAGATCGAACTCTCTGCTTATTTTGATTGTTACAGCAACCGAACAAATAGTGAAAATACAAAATGCACGAACCGAATCGTCTTTATTATATTTTTCACTTGAAACTCGAGTCGGATAAAAAAGGTCAAAAGTTTAACAAACAACTAAATTTAGAAAGCTGTCTCATCGAAGGGGTGGATGAAGGAGAAACAACAACCCTTTCCACTTTTACTTTTTCATTTCCATTACAATGTAATCGCACTTGGAGGCGAAGGGCACGAGGTCCTATGAATAGTCAAACCTCTGTCGAGCGGCCCTCTGTGCGGTCACCCTCTACTGAGGTCACCATTCAATTTCCCGAAATTCGCTTCACATATTTACTGTATATTTGACCTCCATTAAGCGGTCACCTCTAGTTAACGAACGAGGTCACCGTTTGGACTTCCCAATCGGCTAATTTTATTGTAATTCACGTCTGTTAAGGGCCCATTAACTGATCTTTTCGAGCCGTTGGTAGGGAAAATTGATTCTCATATAACCTAATTATTTTTAGTTAGTTCAGAGTTATTTCATGTGTTTTAACTTTTGCATGATCAGTAACACCCGTGATGACGTCATCAGACCACGCCCTTGGTCATGTGACTAATACTGAAAAAAATGCAAAGGCTCCCAGGCAAATTACTTTATCGGGATTTTTTTCATTGATTTAATATCTTAATTACTCTATGCGTAGATTTCGTTTCATTTCTAAAAGGTCAGATTCTGAGAGAATTTCAAAATATTGAAAAATTATTAATTTTCTGAATAAAGCATGACTTCGAAAAAGGAATGCGTAGCTATGTTTTCAACGTTGGCGTTAATCGAAACTCGTTGAAAAAGGATTGAAAAATGAAAACCGCGTTTCCTTTACCATTTAAAGAAACCGGAAGTGCGCCCGATGTATATTGGAAGTTACCCTATCAGCGCGTGCGCAATTTACACCACCAGTGCACTTCGGTAAGATCAGACAAAGCCACACGGAATGAGTTTTTCTCTTTCGTTTGCTCCTGTTTTTCTGTTTTTCTCTTATTTTGTCTTTGCTTGTACTTATTTTAGTTTGCATCTTGTGAAACACAAAGAAAAAACGTTTAAATGTAAGCGAATTTGCAAGTTATTGAGTTGTTTTTATTTTCGACGCTCAGGCTGACGTAAGTAACCGGAAGTGAAATTTCACCTCCTTACGCGCATGAATCGGTTAAACAGACGACCTTAAGGAGGCTCGAAAGGGTTTTTTGACCGCGCGAAGAACGGTTCCCAAACCTGCGAGAAATTATGATAAATGAGATGCCAAAACTGTCAATGATCCGCTTTAAGGCAAAGACGCTCGACGTTTGCCTTACAAACAACATTACTATGAAATCTGTTGACGAGTGCGTGGACTCCTTGGATATATTTCGCACTACAGTTGTTACGAACAATGATGTAGATTGCGTGCTTACTTTTGTTTTCTTAGCTTGTTCAATTTTTTTGCCCCATACGCTAAATTTTGATAACCTCTTTTAAACGGTCGACTTCTCTCAAGCATTCACCTGGCTATTTTCGGAGAGTGACCGCTTAATAGAGGTTTGACTGTAATAAGTCAAGTGGGTACAGTGTTTCGGACAAAAGTCAATGAGTCAATAGTTTACCACATTAGCATAGCACTTCTGTTGACCTAAATAGCCCTCCGTCTCGGTCTTTTCGCCAAAATAGTACTCAGGTGAGCCTGAATAACGCTCAGGTTAACTCAATGGCTCATGACCCATTCATTTGACTCTTAATTAGTACTTTGAACCATTCGGTTTTTACCTTTTAAAAGCTTGACGATTTTCGTGCAGTGTAACTTCGTCACCGGCTCCCGTTGAAAAGTAATCAAAGGCATTCTTGTCCAAGTGTGTAGCAGCGTAGTTCTTTAGATCATCTATTGTTAAGAGGTCTCTAAAGTTTGACATCTTCTTACTGGATAAAAAAAACCGCGAAATGCTTATTTAATTAATTAGTTTCGACACAGAAATAATGAAAATTCCATGCAGGAAGATCGATTATCTTGATTCAATGGGTCACGCTCAATTTCCGTCTCAGAGTCCGTGCGTTTTCGGTCAACGGTGAAAGAATTTGATTGTACGTATGGGTTCAAGTTCAATAATGGATAAGTTTTCCCTGTTACTAATGTAACGTTGACCGAAAACGCGCGAGCTCTAGGACGCCATTGAGTCTATTGAGTCAGGCAGATGTTTCCAACATCAACCTTGGGTGCTTTCCGATCCATTTAAAAAAGAAAAAATAGGAACATTTCCGTCGAGAGGAAAATGAGTTTTTGTTCGTCCACCAGAGAATTCTTGGGGCAAAATAAACTTGTGACTTCTCCCTTTTCAAAACTTCTGATTTTTCTGGGTTTTTCTGGTGGGGCGAACCGAAATAGTGTTAACCATTTTCATGGCTAAACGAAAAGCGCGCTGGTGGTAAGGTCTTTATGCTTGGCCAATAATAGCACGCCTAGCCCGCTAGGCTGAAATTCATGCACGCTAACGTGTAACTTGATCTGATCATCGCATATTGGTTAAAAAAGCATTAAACTTAGTAGTAAGCGGGGAGTCAGACAAATACCGGCAAACTGGTGACTACTTTTGCGCGGGCTAAAGTGCTCACAATTTCCCGGTTGTATTTGTCTGACTCCCCGCTTATATTACTACTGTACTGTCACACGCCCCGCAAAATTTCCATTTAAACATTTGCGGTTACCATTTATAACCAAAAGAATAGAAAGGCAGCGGCTTCGCGAAGTGGTCCAAAACATTTTGAACGAACCAATTCCAGAAAAAGTGAAACAGCGGTTACTGAAACCGCTTAGGCCTTCTAAAGGTGGCAAACCAATTGCGCCTCCAAGAAGAAAGCAAGAAACACGAAGTAAAGCACTTCTTGAAGAGTTTGACCCCTATCTGCCTCTTGGAAATCAAACAATCACTAACTACCAGAATGAGCTCCTTAGGCTGTATGACGCGCTTGAAGGCGTAGAAGAGGGGCGGCGTTTTATGAGATTGATTTTTAGTAGGAAACTGGGAAAAAACCTTCTATTATAGGTAAATTGAAAGAAAGAGGTAAACACAGCTTTTTATCTAAGGTACTTCTACTCATACGTAATTGTGAACAACGAAGACAAAAGGAGTATGGCTTTCTGTAAATAGAAAAGAGGTTCTCCTTGGATAGACAACAGCCTTGCTGTGGCAGAAAGATGTTTGAATCAACAAGAGAACGAACACACAACTATTGACAACATCGAGAGGTCTAACACGAAGTGGACTTTTGTGAGGTTCTTCAACGTTGAAATAAAAGTAGTGCTTGACAGGCAGCCTCTGTTAGGCACGGGGCCGTTGCCAGACTGGCTACACAGCCTTGCACACGGCCATATGTCAGAGAAGATGGCGCCCGCACGAACATTATCAGGCCGTTTTCGTGCTCCAGTTGCAACACAAACGACGGCCCGTATTTGTTGTACCCTTGGTCTTGGACTTCAAGCACCTTGTGCATCCCTTGCTGGATGTCGCGCCATTTGCTGATTTTGTCTCGTTCCTGAAAGTCTTCGATTGCTGGCCAGTAGCGCTTGTCTTGTGATGGCGTGTCAACTAGCGGTCCATAGTGTTATACCAAGGGTTGTCACTTATTCAAATAGAGT